AAAGCAATAAAAGTAGTACTTGTTTAGACTATCATTACAGAGAGTATTTAATTTACATATAAACTAAGAATATTTGTTTGGTTATACTATTGTAATGAAAAAGTTTCAATATGCTACATTCCAGGATAGCTTAGAGCATAAATAAATTAGAATGAAAATATAAAAATAACATTTTTATTTTGGTCCATCTGGATACCTTATGCATCTTTGATAAATGTGTTAAACGTGCTAATGTTTCTAGATATATAGTTGCATAAATATATTGTGGGTGTAGTATCAACTAAAATTAAACTTGTTTAGCTCTCAAAAAAGTAGCTAGCTCCTTACTAAAATGAATTAAGTGTATTATATGTAAATAATGCTTAATCTCCTGGTATAGTCATAATGTTAATTTATTTTGTAACACCGGTGACTCCTATCAAAGTATTATAATTTATATCATAATAGATGTTTGTATTATTAGATCTGTAATCAAACAACTCAAGAATATTTTTAAAACTGTTTCTATAAAAATAGGTATTTGTGGGGCTAATAAAACATATTAAAAGTTATTCTTTGGAGTTTATTATAGGAATGTTTTGTAAATAATTTTAAAGTGGCAAATTATTAACCTATTATTATATTATTATTAAAAAAGATTAAGCTATAAAATCAAAATTTTTTTTCAATTACCTATTTAAATTATTAGGAGTCTAAACCAGTAAGTAAGTCTTTAATTTTAACAATAGGAGAATATATTATTAGCAAATTTTCACTGCATGATAAAGTAAACTTAAGATATAAAACAACCTAACTATTTGAGTATGAAAATGATGTACTAACTTAAATTTTAGTTCCATCTTGTACCTTTTTCATTCATTTTAAAATAAAGTTAATTAAAAAATAATAAAATGAGATTAAAATACCTTTATGATAAATAAGCTTTATTTTTAAGTTTTTGCAACTATAATTTTTTGACTGGAACAGTATTACAATTCTGTAATATTTGAATCTAACTAAGCTAATTGTTGATTTTTATTATTATTTTATTATTAATTATATAGAAAGATATTTTAACCCTTTACATAAATAAAGTTATAAGTGGTCCAATCTACAATTTTAATTAATAAATCAAAACTAAAGTTAATTGGTATTTAGCTTAATAATGGAATATGCTTTATTAAATCATAAATAAAAATAGATTAAGAGTCTTAATCATATATTGCTATTAGATTCGATTAACTTACAAAGTAAAGATCTTAAAGATTTTAGTTTGTTGTTAAATTTAGTATTTAATAAGGAATATTAAGTAAATTTTTATGCCAGTAAACACCATTTTCTGATTAAAATAAGTGGTACTATATATCATCCATTTATATTTAACCAATAAATTTATTATATTCTTCTTATTATTTAATTACAATCATATTATCTGTGTCTATTATTCTACCTGATTTTTAAACATATTAAGTGCTATTCAAAGTATAAAAGGTAATTAACTATTAATATTTTAAATTAGTTATTTAAGCTTCTAAAATTTGATATTATTTTAATTCCATATCAAATTTATAAAAATAATTTTAATCAGAGTAAAATACATATCTGTCATTTTACAAAATAGTTTATTTTGATAACAATTTATTAGGCGGGTATTAAATTCCAAGATTTAACCAAATCTAATTTTATAAATCTAAAGAACATATTAATATCACTCCATAGTAAAATATAAAAATTTCTTTTGTTTTTTAATAAGTAGTTGCTGGATTGTTAATAGGATAAAGCTATAGCTGAGCAGATTGTGCTATAAAATTTTACTGTTTAATAGAGAAAGGTTAGCAAATAGGAGAGCTAGTTTAACAAAAATACATAATATCATTATTAAGAATAATAGGTTAATATGAAGAGCTGTAAGTAGTCCAAAAAGAGTTTATTTTAGATTTCTAAAAATTGAATATTTAAGTATATTATAAGGTTGAAAAATCAAGCAAATACAGAATTAATTCTGACTTGCTATTTTTTAAAATATACATTAAATAGTCATCATTAATTAGAACATAATTATTTAGTGCAAACATTTTTAGTTAATCATCATTTATTAATTTTTGTGAGCTACTAAGGTTGTAAATCTGTGGACCATATTATACTATTAACAGATTTCTTTTTTTATTATAATTTAAGCTATTGGACAATAATGAACTACTATAGTTATATGACAAGACGCATTTTTATTATTATAAATCAAATATATATTACTAAATAATTTAACCATTTAATTATTAAAGTAAAATATATTTATTATTTATTTATTACACAAACTAATATTTTTATAAAATATTGCTTGTTTATTGATTTATACTTAAAATTTTTGTATTGATTCTTGGGATCTTTTAATAGTTTTAAACAGATTCTTATATTAGCATTATAGCTGATGTTTAATTTAAAAAATTTTAATAGCCATCTAAAATATAAAATTAATTTTTTTAATACTTTTTAGTTAAAGTAATAGCTAATTAATTTTAGTTTTAAATTAAATTTTTATCATAATAGAGAGTTTCAGATTAGTATGGATTTAAGTAGTTTATTTTGTATGAATAATCAGTAAGATTGTATTTCAACCTTATTTATTAAATCTATTAAGATACGATTACATCCATAGTATTATCCATCTAAAATATTACATTTATGATTTATGATTATTAAGAAATATAATTAAAATTCATATGTTCAAAGTTTTTCACATATTTTTAATTTTCACTTTATTAAATTAAAAAGCTCGTTAAATTCATAATTTAAAAAAAATCAGAAAATATAAAAATCAATGTCTAATTTGATCTTCTATCTTCAAAAACTTGAAAGTTAACTACTTAATAGTTTGTCAAATTAATTCTTTAAATTATTTATTCAGACAAATCATTTAAAACTAAAATTTGTAAATTGCTATCCTTTTAATTTAGATACATGATAGAATTTAGTAAATCTGAAAAATAAACTAAATAATTTTGATATAAATATTTCTAAAATTATTCTATTTAGCCACCTATGCTTATTAATTTTGATGAAATATTGATTTTTAAAATCGTAAAAATACCTAAATAATCATAAGAAAAGGCTATATAATAATCATTTCTTTACTAAAATTGATAAAAGGTATAATTTCCTAAATCTTATTATTAATCGATCTTTTATATCTCTATTGATCTATCTTCAAGAAAATTGGTTTTCTATTTTTTTATAAAATAAAAAAAATTACAACTAAAATAAAATTATATTTTTATTTTTACTTAAAATGAGTTATCAAACCATTAAATTATGTATGAAGTTTAAGACTTATTTTGGAATTAAAAGAATAAATAAATCTATTGATAGCTTATATCAATAGAATTTAATTTTCTATTAATAGCATCATACCAAACCAATGTATTTGTATATGCAGTTGTAGATAAAAAAACAAGTTAATTTATTGAATCTACTAATAACAGATTGTAATCATAGATTGTATTTTCTTAAACAAATAATACTTTTAAGGTTTTAAAATCCATAACAACTAATTTGTTTCCTGCTGTGCATCCTCCTTAATCTCCAACTATAAAGCTTTTTCTTTAATCTTCTATCCCATTTAATATATATAAATCATCGTAATTTGGTAAATTCTATAGGATTTATAAACTAATTATTTTCCAATTTTTGTCAGCTAAAGCAAAAGTGCAGCCATTTGCTAAAACTAAATATTATTATTGATTAACCTATTATATATCTATTAATGCTTGTTCAAAAGAAAATGATGAGCTTTCTTGTATTTATATGCATTTGGTAGTCTCTTCGCAAGTTAAAGCATCCATATTTTAGTAAAAAGTTGATGAGCATTCTTATTAACACTATTTTAGTTTTGGTGGACCTTAAATAAAATTTCTTAAAAATGGACAAACATTATTCATTAGTATGCACTAATTAGTATTCAAATCAAGTTCCATATTTTGATCACACTCATAACAATTTTAATTTGCATCACATTTTGTGCATCCGTAAACTTTACATTTCATACATTAATAGTTTTCACTCAAAAATTCATCATCTAAGCATTTTTTAATGCATGTAGAACTATTGATTGAACTTTTAATCAGATTCTGTTAACAACTAATACATGAGTTTTCATTTATGCTAAAACAAGTTAAGCAATTTTCAGAGCAATTAAGGCAAGACTTAGTAATAGCAGAGTAAATTTAGCTAGCTAAGCATTATTCACAACAACAAACCCTAATAGTAGATATTAAAATTAAACTAATTAATAAAAAAGTCATCAATTTATTAAATGCTATAAAACTATTCCTATTCCTTTAAATAATTAATTAATTTTTGAATATTAATAATCTTTAAATTTTACTAATTATTATTATCTCTAATCTTTAGCTCTCATACATAAAATCAAATAATTACAATTCAATAAAGAAATACATATGCTTAGAAGGCATAGATTTAAAAGAAAATAGCTATTAATTATTATTTTTATTTAAAATAAATTATTATTTAAAAGTAGTAGGAAGTAGAAAATTGAACAAATTTAAATTGTAATATTTTTTCTGCTTTTTCTATTGTAATATTTTTTTTGATTTAATTAAAATTAATAACTAAGATGTTTGTTTGCTAATTTTATGAAATAAGAGTATTTATAAATTTGGTTTGAAAATGACAAAAGTATACAAATAATAAATGGAAGTATAATTTATGGTTTAATATAAAAAGAAATGTTTAGTCTTTTAGTTTATTTTTTGTATGTATACTATTAATAGATTAATATTTATAATTACAGACACAAAAATTAGGAGTAATTAAATTTCCATAAAAAAAACTAAAATATTTTTTTTCAAAAATTAATAAACAAATACTAATAAAATAAAACATATTATAAATTAATTTGCTCTTTTATCAATTTGAGTTTTTCTAGATAGAAATTTATAGAAGTTAATTCATTTGAATTATTCAAAATAACATCAAGAGATAAATCTGATTTATTTTCTGTATAATTATTCTTTTTTTTTTTTTGCAATATTATTTGATGATAATTACAATTTATATTATTTAAAAGATAGGACTTATCACTAAAGCAAGTACCATAAAAAACATAATTACTAATGACTATATAACTATATAATTGGATATTCCTATAGATTATTTTCTAAAGAATCAATTTAAGCACACAAAACACTAAATATAATTAATACGATAACCCAAATTATCTATTCAAAAATAATTTAAATATATATTATGTTTCTATAAAATGGCCTCAAATAAATTGTAATTAATAATTCAATAAATTATATGATAATTAGAGTAATAGTAGATTTTAAACTACTTTTTTTAAATATGATTACTGTTATTGGAAGTGTTAAGCATTCGATTATAGTAAAAATCAGCATATACATTCTTGACAAACAAGATTCTAAAATGGTTCCATTAGTTAAATTTATTATCACTATACTAATAATACTTTATTTACTATGATTTATTCTACTTATCTTTATTAAATATAATTAAGCTGCTTATAAACTAATTATCAAGCTAACAAAGACCAAGCAGCAAATTATAAAGACATAAGTAAATATACCCTATATTGTTTATACTAAATATTTAATTATATGATTTAGATAACTGAGTTATAGTAGAAAACTAAAATAAGTAATTGTAAAAATTAAATTATAGTGAAGAAAATAATTCATCATATACTAAAAGAATATGTCTTTTTAATCTAGTATGCATTAGTAGAAATACAAATATCTGAAAAATTACTAAACAGCAACTATGAAAAATACAGCTCCGCTATTTTTAATAATACTGCTAGAAATATTATTATTTGCAAATTTATAATCTAAGGTCTGATTATAATATTAACTATCTATTTAAAAACTATTTGAGAAAATATTAGCAATTTCCAATCTTGATGTAATACCATTTTCTAAATTAAATATTGAAAAAAAAAAATTTTAGTAATTTTGCAATGACATTAAAAAATTACTTCTACTGTATAACTCTCAAAAATAATTTTTTTGTAAATTTTAAAATATTTTTATTAAATTTATAAAAAAATTAAATTGAGTTGAATATACTGATAAATTGAAACAAATATATGGATATTTAAAGGTATGTAAAATTAAAAAAATAAAATATAAAACGAGTACGATTTCCCATATCTTACTCTGTGACAAAATATCCCGGATGTTAAGTTCTCTATAGTTAACTAGTATTCGTCATTTTATAAAGCAGTTTCAGGATATATAACTGGTTATAGCTAATTTATTTCCACTTCAGGAATCTTTATGTAACTAAGAAATTAAATTAATTTTAAAATCACTAAGAAAAATGAAATAATTATAAGAATATTCATTAGATGTTTTTATATTTATATTTTAAAGTTAATAATTATAAATTTTAGAAGTATGCTTTATTTTTATAAATATTGAAAACTAAAGGATTTAGATTACAGTGATTATTATTTATTAACAAATTGAATTTTACTCATTAATCTCAAAATTTTTACATTTAAAAAAATAAAAAATTAATTGTAAGTAAAAAATAACTAGATTTAAAATTTAATATTACAAATATATAATTTTAAATGTACATCAGAATAATATTCTAAAGTTTTTAAAAAGCTATAACATTAAAGATCTAAATTAAACTAAATATTAAATTTAATTAATTAATTATGCAAAAAATAAATTAAAATTAAAATTTCAATCTAATTTGAATGATCAATAATTCTACTTTTTAGTCATGATTATTTATAGAGAAGTTGTTTACCACAAACTTTTAGAAATTATTAAACAAAATGAAGTTTGGAATAATAGCTCTTTATCAATATGTAAGCATAAAATAAAATTCCTATAAAAAAGATTTATAAATTTTGTAAGCAGCAATGAAAGTTTTTCTTAAAAAATAAAAGATCAAACTCAAACCAATATTTTAAATTAATTTATGAATAAAGATCTTTAAATTAATGAAATATATTAATAATTTATTCATATATATTTTCCACTATAATTTTATTATTTATTAGACAATTTCCAAAATACTTAGATTTTAATTAACTAAACATAAACAATATAGAATAAATAATCTTATAAGTGAGTTTACAATAGGGTCACTTTTAGATCATTTTGAAAAATCTTCTTATTGCCAAAAATTAGGTAATGAAAAACTTTACTTGGAGGGGGGCTGTATTTTTGTATTTTTTGATAAACAATTTGAAATTTAAAACAAATTTTTAAAAAATGTCAGAATAAAAGTGGGCTTAAATCATCAGCTACCCCAAATATAAAATATATAATTTAGATGAAATAAAAATGATAGAATATAAAGGATTTATAAAATAATTTAATCAAAAAAAATAACTATTTGTAATTAATTACTTTGCAAAAATACTTAGAAAAATAATATTTATTGAACTAATAATTTGTATTTCTATTCACCTATCTTCAAACATTTTAGCATTTTGACTTTCTATTTTTATAATAAAATAAGAAAAAATAAATAAAGTGATAACCTATATCAATGTAATTTAATTTTCTATTATAAAATTATTTATAAATGCAATTATTGATAAAAAAAACAAGTTAATTTTATAATGTACTAATATTTGATAGAATAATATATTGTTCGATCTTAAAGAAATAATACTTTTAATGTTTTAAAATCCATAACAACTAATATGCTTCCTGCAATACATCCACTTTAATCTCTAAAATAAAACTTTTTCTATATTATTCTATCCCTTTTAATAAATATAAACCATTATAATCTGCTAAATTCTAAAGTATTTATAAACTAATTATTTTCCAATTTTTGTCTAATAAAGCAAAATAGAAGCCATTTGCTAAAATTAGATACTAGTGATTAGACAATTATACTTCTGTTAATATGTTGTTAAAAGAAAAATATGAGCTTTCTTAAATTCATTTTCATTAAGCAGTTTCTTCACAATTTTAAGCATAATTGTTTTAGTAAAAAGTTGGAGCATTCTACTTAAACTATTTTTTTTAAACTTATTAAAAATGAGCAAACCATATTCATTAGTATGCACTAATTAGTATCCAAATCAAGTTCAATATTTTTATCAACTAATAAAAATTTTAATTTGCCACATTTTATGTTTTCATAAACTTTAAATTTCACACATTGTATATAATTAAATTCAAAAACTTACCATTTAAGCATTATTTATAGAAGTAGAACTATTGATTGAATTTATAAATAAATTGTGTTAACAACTAACGCATGAATATTCACTTACAATTAATGCAAGATTAAATAATAACAGAATAAATTTATTAACTTAATCTTTATCCATAAAAATAACCATTGAGAAGATACTATAATTACACTAATTAATACAAAACACATAAATTTAAATGTGATAAATCTATTTCTTTTCTTTTAATAATTAATAAATTTTTTAATATTAATAATCTTTAAATTTTACTAATAGCTAATATCACTAGTCTCTAGTTCTTATACATAAAATCAAATAATTACAATTGAATAAAAAAATAAATTTACTAAGAAGGTGGAGATTTAAAGAATTTGCAATTAAAAATATTAAGAAGATAAAATATATCAAATTAAAAAAATAATTTGATTATTTATATTTAGTTTTTCAATTTTATTTTGATTAAATTAAAATTAATATTTAATATTTTACTATTTGTTCTTTTATCGATTTGAGTTTTTCTAGAAAGATATTTCTAAAAGAGGTGGAGCACTATTTAATACATTTTAATTACTCAAAATATTATCATGAGATAAATCTGATTTTTACTTTTCTACACTAAATTTATATTTAAAACTCCTATTTAAATTGTATTTAATATGAATTTAGCTCCTGCATTCAGAGCCAAACATTAATTTAGCTAAAATATTGAATTTAATATATTAATTGCTTTGTTTTCAGCTGCATAAATTAATTCCTCTTCGATTATTACTATTAGTTTTTTTGTAAATTAAAAATTTGTTATAGTTACAGTATCACAATCTTAAATTATAAATATAG